ACAGAGGAGCAAACTATGCGAGGCGAGCCCAAGCAGCATCCAGAGCTGAGGCAGCTGAAGGAGGACGAAGAGGAAGAAGAGGAGAAGGAGGAAGCACCACCAGGCGCTGAGGCAGCCACTGGCCAGGCTGGTGCTGGGGGTGCTGAGAGAGAAAGAGAGCCGCTTCCCTGGAAAAGGCAGCAGTGGCTGCTGTTGACAGCTTGGAGTCGCTCTTCGAGGACAGGACAAGAGCGAGCTCCGCTTTCAGGCATCACTCATGGTGGCTCAGGCACTCGGGGGAAAGGGTGAGCAGCGCGCCTCGCTCACCAGCTCTCCCCCAAGACAGCGGCTCTTGCACCTTCCATCCAGAACTACAGCCTGGCCACTGGCAGACAGGCTGGCAGGCTGCAGTTCCGGATGGAGGGTGCACGAGGCACTGCCTTGGGAGAGAGCTGGCGAGCGAGGCGAGGCTTTTTTTTACTCTCGACAGCAGAGGACACATGGGCCCTTTGAGGGGGGCAGGCAAGGCGGGGGCCACAAACTATTGTCCAGCAAATTGCCCCCGGGCCGCATGTTTGAGACCCCTCCTCTAGATGTTACTTGCTACTAAATTTCAGCCACTAAATCTCAAACATACCTTTCCCCACTATCCCAACTTCAAACAAACAGGCCTATGTATAGAAAGAAACTGAATTATTTTGCTAAAGACATAAAGATTGGAATGGAGTTGCTTCCAGCTTACTGGGAAATAATAACCAGAATACATGGTGACTCAATGAGAAGCCTAAGTCAAGGAGTGGCTATGGCTGAGATATCAACGTACAGTATCAGCATCTGGAACTTCACATGGGTTAGGCTGCTGTAGGGTGGTGTTTTTTTCTTCTGGTTTTGCATAGCAAATCTGTTAACTGGGTTACTCCAAAGAGTTGGTGAGGTTTATAATATCTGTAAGCAAAAGTCCCACTACACCAGCAGCAATGCTGCTTTCACTTTGCCTTTCAAGGAGAAGGGCCTATTGACTGTGTCTTGCCCAAGGGCCCCCAAATTCCCGGGGCTAGCAGCATCAGTGGGATCACTCTATCAGAAGCTGAAATCACAAATATACAGATAAACATATAATTAACATATTCTTTTTTAAAGCTTCTTTTTAAATACCTGGAATATCTACTTTATTGGACTTTTGCTTTCAAGATGGCTGGAAGCCTCCAGAACTTGCATTCCAAACAAGTGATGTTCCCAAAACAAATGATGCTGAAGACAGAGAATCAATTTGAGGGAAAATTTAGGGAGCATTTGTGCTACATTTTTGATCTGCACTTTTGAGTTTGGGTTAAAATCCCTCAACAGAAAAATAGACATTAAGTGCATGTCAGTTTCCGGATTGCACTTTGCAATGCATCTGCACCACAAAGATAGTGAAATCCTCTATATAAGATTCAACCTTCCCCTTTCGTCCAAGCCTTTGGTCATTTGAAAATGTTCACAGTTCAAGATCTCATTTACATTACGTCAAATCATACTTCAACGAATGTGATGCCTTCCTATTTCTAGAACAGACGAACAGCATGTTAAACACACAAGTTTAGCAATAGTGTGCAACTAAATTTTAAACTCAATATATATAAATAGCAAGAGATTCAGGCTGGCTGTTTTAGGTTGGAGTCCTTATCGAAGAGTACTCAGTGGACCTCCCTTCTGAGTAGAAATGTATAACGCCACACTGTTACTTTTCAGTAAGGTTTCCTGACCTATACACAACCCCCTCCGACTTTCTACCTTTCTATCAGCAACAGAGTGCCACACCTGTACAGCCACTAGTTTATTCATCCCAAGGTATCAAAGACATGATTTGGGAGCGTATCCAAAGATTTCACCCTAAACTAAACATATGACTTCCCAGTTCAGAAAGCAGAAGGGAATAAGCCAGGGTGGAACAAATAAAGTAATAACTTTTCCACTTGAACCAGCTACATAAACACCATTAAGAGAGAAGAGGAAGTTACTCCTCAGGAAAAGTATTGGAAGGCCAGGAAACAGTCAATGAGTGGAAAGATCATTTAAAAAATCCCTTATGTTTCCTGTTAATCAAGTATGCCAAATGAGGTGTTTGAAACTCAAGTAAGTTTTAAAAAAAAAATGTGTACAGTGCAGTAAAGCACCTGATAAATGAGTATTGGCGACACAGCATTTTCGTGGAAAAAGTACTGTATTAGCGACGTCTCCGTTTTAGTTTCCAACCCTAAGACTGACTAGTTTAAACGGACGTTTACACTGTTTAGCCGGGCATGGAAGGGACCAGATCAAACGGAACACGAAATACTCCCAAGTTTTTTACTTCTAAGGTTCAAAAAAGGAGAGAGGCTAAAACTCTCGACAAAAACGCACTTGGGAAGAGGTGCCCTGCGCTCTCTGAATAGCCACCCTTTTCCCGAATGAGAGATTCCCGAAGGGGAGGAAATAAACTCCGGTTGCGTTTGTCTTTTCTAAGCAACTGAATCCCAAAGGAGGAAAAAAAAACACACACAATAGAGAGAGAGAGAGCTTCGAGCCGGCCACGAGAGCACAACAACAAAGCCAATCGCGGGCGTGAAGTGGCCTCATGGGAGTGGATCGCACCACGGATGATCAATCGTGAGCCCCCCCCCTCCAAAAAAGAAAGACCACGGACAAAATACAGAATTAGGGAGGGCAAGAGAGCGAAGAAGCCAGCACTAAACTCGAAGCCGATCTGCTCCGAGGAGGGAGAAGGACGACTCACCC